TGTAATCCATAGTTTTCCAAATGAGGAAACAATGGTGCACCCAAATAAAGGACTTGTCCAAGCTAACCCAGTAAATTAGCTGTAGAGCCAGAAAGAGAACTCATACCTTTCTGTTCTTATTCTAGGCGCTTTACCATGTATTTTTTTTGTATTTGTTCATTTCATCTTCTCAGGTAAATTCTAAACTTATGGAGAATAAGGACTACTCCGTTTTTAAAATTTTCTTTGTATCTTCAGAGGCATATAGTTCCTGTTCACTAAGCTCTCGTTGATTATTTGAGTCTGTTTAGAAAGTTTTTTTGAGCACCCTCTCTGCCAGGGACTGGAATATCAAAGGGCACAAAACAAATAAAAATGCATGTCCCCATAGAACTTACATTTTAATAGATGGCCAATAAATTCCTTAAAAATGGAATTGAAATAATAGTTCATCTGACTTGCCCTTCTATAAAACTTCCTTGCACACTACCAAATGACTTGAACTAAACAACATTAACCTTACCATACGAAATAATTTTGGAAATGGAATTATGTTTCCTGTGTTTTAATATGCCTATTAGAAAGGTCATATCCCTTGCGTGTGTGAATGATAATATGTCCTGAAAGCTTCTAGTCTTGTTCAGTCTAATTAGATTTAAAACAAGTTGACCACTACTAGGATAGAATGACTGAATTTGGCTGTCCAAAGCCACATTTGCCCAGTGAGCTCTATTCTTTGAACCATTAATAGAAAAATCCAGTCACCCTATTTCCAGGAGTTAGAGATATTATTTTAGGTCACTAAAGTTTAAAAATTGCTAGTCAACATGAAAATTCAAATCCATCAGTAGATATTAAGTACCTATTATATGCTGACAAATGATAATTGCCACTGCTTTTTTTGATGCTAGGAGAGGAATAAAATGTACCAAGTCCAAAATATAAGCATTTCTCATATAATACCACCCTCTCTCACCATAATAATAATAATAATAATAATAATAATAATATGCATAGGGAATAGTATTAGGGAAGGGGATGACTTAAGGGCAGAAATGGGAGCTACAAGTTGAAGAAACCTGAAAATATCCCAATTCTGATGTCCCTCAATGGATGAAACTCTGTTTCTGAGAAAGTAGCTTAAGAAGTTAAAGGAGCTCTTTTTTCTCCCCACTCTTCACTTCCCCCACAGACCAATGCAGAGTATGGAATGTAAGTCCACAAACCGCCACATCGCCACTCTTTACCTTGTGAGGAGGCCAAAAATGCTTAGCTATGTCAGTGGGTCCAATAGCCAAACCTCATACTTTTACGCATAAATAATTGGGAGTATGTGTAAGACTCTGTCCTCAGGGTTTTCAGGGGCTGGGAGGATGTAAATCATCTTAGAGTGCTGAATAAATGCAGATTGATAAAGAAATGTACACAAGTTTACACATATAAATTCACAGATATTAATATGCTGGAGCATTTTCTCCAGCAACCTACAAATAACAACTGAACCTCAAATATTTGGGGGGGAAAGATTTATAAATCCAGCAACAGTTCCTTTGCTGTTTCTCCCTTAGGAGCTACAACTGTTGATTTTTATGTCTTCTAGCAGCAGCTCAGCGAGTAGTCTGTAAGTTCCAGCAGCTTGAATAAGGAGATTCAATCTGAAAGTGTGAGGGCATAATCCCAAAAACAGTTTTTACAATTTAGAAAGTTCTAGTCTCATTTCATGAGAGCTCCCCAAAGAAAGAGAAAACTCCTCTTGAGAAAAAAATTCTTTTGGCCAGAGATCCTTATTTTATTCTCCAAAGAGGTCTCTTAAAGCAGATTTTTCTAGGTTTATTTACAATGTTAGTTCTGAACATATTTTTGGCTCATAGACTGTGTTGAGAATCTGGTTGAATTTATGGATCTTATTCCTCAGAAAAAAATGCACACATATACAAATGTACATAATTTTGCTCAGTTCACAATCTGAGAGGGTTCATATATTTCCAGAAGCCCATCTATGGGTGTCATTAACCATCAGTGGCCCCCAAATTAAGAGTACCTCCTCTAAAGTTGAGAACCGAACATAGAAATATGCATAAGAAGAGAAAAAGTAGGGTATATAACAGCACTTTCAAGTAAAACAGAAATGCAAAACATGTAAGCATTTTTAAAACTATAGATGTGATAGCCCCATCCTAGGAACAAAACAAAGCAAAACAAAAAAATATAAGGAAAGGACTTGTCACAAAACTATGAGCTTTTTACTTTGCAAAAATAAAAGCAGAATATGTTTAAAGATATTCTTTCAGAATGTGAAAACTGTGACCCTTGGCTGCTATCATTTTTTTCTATTTTTCTTGCCAAACAAATGTTATGAAAGAATATCTGCAGGCCTTCACTCTACCCTGAGGGTTAAAACATGTACAGGATGGAAACTATCAGAGTGCTGAGGTTGGCAGACTCATCTGCCTTGCTAAAGCTTCTAGAGACCTTCAAGGGCTCTAGGGATGAGGGAGTTGTCTTTTTCAGAGAGAATCAGGCCACAAAAAATGTGTCCAAGTCTTCAGAACTATTCAGCCATGGCAGTAGATACAAGTAGAAAAAAATTTATTCAGTGCAGATCCCATGGTCTCAAAATGCTGTATTTTACATTAAGAGCATCTACAGGAAATACTCTTGCCAGTGCAAATAATCAGGACTTCTTCTCAATTGAAGAAGCTGGGAATACAATAGCAGACACATTATATCTTGTAAGGAGATAGATGATTGAGACTTTGAGACAGGATACTTTGGGGCTAAAATTTTCAAAAAAAATATATGACAGCTGAAATCATCATCATCAGATATGACCAGGTTTCCAAGTGTCTTTTCATTATTCTCCTGCTCCCAGGAAAAGCAACACCATACTGTCTTTTGTATAATTGTCTCAACATACTCTTTTCAGTTCCTCTTATAGGACTTGTACTTTTCTAAGAAGAAAGACTATAACAAAGAGCATAATGAATAAGGTTATAATGTTTTTTAACCTTAAGGAGTTCACAGTCCAGTCTAGTAGTGAAAATAGAAATGCAACTAAATAGTCACAATTGTGTCCTAGGTAAATTAATAGTAGTATATGCAAGATATTAGGTAGAACAGCAAAAGAAGAAACTAAGTCTTCTTGAGGAAGTGACACTTGGATTTGAGTCTATTTAAAAGAAGAATAGAAGTTTGCTTAGTGACCAAGGAGAAGAAGGACAGTCCAAGCAAAAAGGTACAGAAATTACAAAGAAATCAAGAAATGAAATAACATGCATATCTGGAGAAGTGAAAACAGGATATTAATGGGGCATAACATATACCAAGTTAAACAGAAGAAAGTTAGTGTTTCAGATCCATTGATTTTTCAATGGCCGTAATCTATGACACCCAAGAGATTTATATAATTAGGGATGAGGTTGACCTAAATGACCTTAAGAAGCTTTTAACTTGATATTGGGGCTGTCAAATGGCAAAAACTACTTTTAAAAAATGCATATCTATATCTCAAAAAGATATATTTTAGTATATTCTGCCCCCTAAACAAAATTCATTTCAGAGTGTAACCTCAGTGCTGAAACACAGATTGATTTTTGCAAAAACAACATCAATAGTGAGTGCTTACCACCTTTTAAAGAAGTCAGTAGAGTTCCCTGCTAAAGCAGTAAGAGAAAATTCTTATTTTTTAATTTATTGTTAACACTATTACCAATGTCCCCCCATTCCTCCCTTTTACCAACCTCCACTCAGCCCCTGCCCTTCAACTTTTTTCTTACATTTTTGAGGTGAAATTTATGTAAAAGGAAATTAACCATTTAGAGTGACATTTTTATATTTATAATGTCAAGTGACCAACACCTTTATCTAGTTACAAAATATTTTTATCACACCAAAAGAAAACCCCATAGTCACAAAGTGGTCATTTCTTCTTCCCTCCTTCCCCCAGTTCCAAGCAACCAGTCTGCTTCCTGTCTCTATGTATGTGCCTATTGTGGATATATCATAAAAATTGAACCATTCAATATATGCAATTTTGCATCTGGCATATTTTACTCAGTATTACGTTTGTGAGGTTCATCAATCTTGTAGTGTGTATTAATACTTCATTTCTCTTAATGACTGAATAACATTCCATTATATGGATATACCACATTCTGTTTTTCCTCTTACCAGCTAGTGGATATTTGGGTTCTTTCCATCTTATGGTTATTGTGAAGAGTGCTGCTATGCACATTCATGCACAGGATTTTTTTAACACCTGTTCTTAATTCTTTGAGGGTGTATACCTAGGAAAGAAACTGCTGGTTCACATGGTAATTCCATGATTAACTTTTTGAGGAACTGCTAAACTGTTTCCACAGTAGCTGCACCATTTTACACTCCTACCAGCAATGCATGAGGGTTCAAATTTCTCTCAACAACATTTGCTATTTTTAACCTTGGCCATCCTTGTGGGTATGAGTAAGATAGAACTTGTGACAATATAAGACAGGGAGAGAAAATCTACTGCAAATCCTCTTTGTCTGTATATCACATCAATTAGGGAAATGGTTGGTCTCTGCCAAGAGCATTACAACATATAGAGAGTTTGCAACATTGCTGAATATCATGATAATTTCTGAGTCACAAATGTTCTTTTAAGAATATTCTGTTGCCCTAACTGGTTTGGCTCAGTGGATAGAGCATCAGCCTGCGGACTGAAGGGTCCCAGGTTCAATTCTGGTCAAGGGCATGTACCTTGGTCGCGGGCACATCCCCAGTAGGGCCTCCGCAGGCCACGTAGTTCCCAGAAGGCGCGTACGCACAGGTCATGACCCACGAGGACCGCAGAGGGATGGCGTGGACCTACACGACAGAACAGACGCAAACATGCTCACGTTCAAACACAGTAGCTACTGAAATCACTGTGAAAATAATCTGCAGGTGTGGCCGGTCAGATACAGCAGTAACTTCATTAGAAACGCTGTGCTGCAGAACAACTCAATCTATAGCTTTAATGAAGTCGCAACTGACAACTAGACAGACTCTCAGTAACAAGACAGCCTCCTAATCGAAATCACGCGTCGAAAAGAAAGAATGTTCCTTTACTATTGTATTTTAAGGCTTACTGGCTAGCAATCATTCATTAAGTCTCAATCACTTAAATCTTTAAAAAAAAAAGCCACTGGCCGGCCAAAATGGCTATCAATTCATGTATAAAACAAGGGTTTTTCCTGAAGTGCTGGAACCGACCCGAGAGCTGCCAGGCTGTGTGCTCACGCGCAGCCAGCGTCCCCTGAAACACAGCTGAGTGGGACCAGTGACAGCACTACTTCACTCCAGGTGACACCCCCTTGGATCACTCTTTAGACGAATTTAATTTATACTTCGATACAATGCCCCTCAGGTGATCTCTCATAAAAACGAATAACTAGCCCTAACCGGTTTGGCTCAGTGGATAGAGCGCCGGCCTGTGGACTGAAGGGTCCCAGGTTCGATTCCGGTCAAGGGCATGTACCTTGGTTGCGGGCACATCCCCAGTAGGGGGTGTGCAGGAGGCAGATGGTCAATGTTTCTCTCTCATCAATGTTTCTAACTCTCTATCCTTCTACCTTCTTCTCTGTAAAAATCAATAAAATATATTTAAAAAATAATATTCTGTTAATTCATCCTTGGGAAAAATATATATTTAACCCAAATATTCAAAAGAAGAATGTGGTGTAAAAAGAAGGAATAAAAATGGAAGAAAGAACACAGGCACAAAAAATAAATATGGGTACAAACAAGTACCTATCAATAATAACTTTAAACATAAATGGACTAAACACTCCAATCAAAAGACATTGAGTGGTTGAATGGATAAAAAAACACAGCCCATATATATGCTGTCTACAAGAGAGCCACCTCAGAACAAGGGACTCACAAGACCGAAAGTGAAGAGATGGAAAAATATCATTCAGGCAAATAGAAATGAAAAAAAAGCTGGGGTAGCAATACTTATATCTGAAAAAATAGACCTCAAAGTGAAGGTCATAATAAGAGATAAGGAACGCCACTTTATAATACTAAAGGGATTGACACAACAAGAGGATAAAACCCTGATAAACATATATGCACCCAATGCAGGAGCACCCAAGTACCAAAAAAACGAACAAAACAAAACAAAAAAAACCTCCTGGAAGATATCAATGGAGAGATTGACAATAATACAATCACAGTAGGGGACTTTAATATACCACTGACATTTCACACCAAAGCCATGGAATATAGGTTCTTCTCAAGTGCACATGGGACATTTTCAAAGATAGACCACATATTAGGTCACAAGCAAAATCTCTTCAAATTCAAGAAGTTTGAAATCATATCAAGCATCTTCTCAGACCACAATGGCATAATATTAGAAAAAAACTACAATAAAAACAATCAAAAAATTAAAACACTTGGAAGCTGAATAGCATGCTATTAAACAATGATTGGGTTACCAAAGAGATTAAAGAAGAAATTAAAAACATCCTGGAAAAGAATGACAATAAATACACAACAATCCAAAATCTATGGGACGCAATGAGAGCAGTCCTGAGAGGGAAGTTTATAGCTCTACAGGCCTACCTCAAAAAACAAGAAAAAATTGTAGTAAATCATCTAACTATACAACTTAAATAATTAGAAAGAGAGCAACAAGAAAAGCCCAGAGTGAGCAGAAGGAAGGTGATAATAAAGATCAGAGCAGAAATAAATGACATAGAGACCAAAAATAAAAATAAAAATAAAAATACAAAAGATCAATGAAACCAAGAGCTGGTTCTTTGAAAGGATA